CTTCAAGATACAGTTTCCGTCTGGGTGCAGAAGGCAATCGTGTTTCTACTTTTGTTCTTGTCTGTTTCAAAGATGGAAAGAAGCTGAGAATTCAGAATTTTTGCCCCTTCCAAGTGCTCCCCCGTATCGATCGCGGGAGGAAGTCAATACTGCGCAGCACTCATCAAATATCCTCTAATGAAATCGCAACAATCGCATGTCGTGCCGAAATTGCCGCATGGTCGCATAGTGTCGTTAGCGATTCGGACTTGCGTGCAGCCCGCCGGCAAAATCGCCGAACTCTGCGATGTTCGCGCGCGTCTTCCGCAGCAGTCACGACAAGAAAAGTGTACTACTGCATTTGAGATGATAAATGTCGAGATTGACGAGTTCGAATACGCAAGTGTGTAGATTTGAAGCGCATCGCGAGCGGCTCGGATGTTTCCAGGATCGATGGCGGGTCACGTCGCGAGACGCTCCAAAATGGACGACGCCATCGCGCTGACGACCAGCTGTCATACAACGCCGCGTAGCTTCTCCTGGACGCGAAACGCCCGCCAGCCGACTGCGATGAACGCGCGATTCGCTCGCAGCCGGGTACGTTTGCTTTCTGTCTTGTACGAGTTTTGCGATACATCTTTCGCCACCACACTTATGCTTTTGTCTTCGAAAGGCTCGGCTATCGATCTACGATACCTCCCATGCATAATGTGCAGCATAATGCATAATGGTCGGCATTCATTGACGTCTTATGTTTTATTCATATCTTACTGTTCCCAGCCCACCTTGGCGTTGTACGAATCCTTAAGTACAGAATATTTGAAAAGAACACAAACTTTGCGTACTCATACTGATGACATTTATGGTTCCACAAAAAAAGTGCCAATCTGGAGTGAATTGCCCCCCATGGAGAGGACTTGTTGGGAAGCAATATGCCTATTTTGATTTTTAAGTAAATCCCTTTTATCTCATGAATCTCAAAGACAATCCGGGAATTCTTAAATGTAGCCGATCACTAAGAGTTGATTTGCAGTATGACATGATTCTTCCGTAGAACTGTACTGGTCTGTAGAGTTATTAGATCTCTCAATTAATATCGTCCATCATGTACAGGAATAACCCATTGAGCAAATTTTGGTTATCATCTCCAAACATATGCAGTTTACTGAAAAGTGAGTGAAGCTAGCATATAGGAATTATTTTCAAGACCTTGTATCGTTCATAGACTGAGAAAGCACACATTCAAGATTTCTGTCACTACTCGAAACTCAGAAAGTACCAGCATATTTTCGCATATCTGGAAGTGTGATTTTGACAAAATATGATCTCTCTGTCTGAACATGCATATACTACAATTTGTTATATCCTGCGGCTCTGTGAAAGGCAAGATTTTTGGCCATTTCAAACAGCTGAAGTTTTATATTCTGGTTTTTTAACTGAAGATTATATTTACAGTGGTAGGTGTAGATGGTATTGTCCGTTGAGCCGCTGGTCACTGGCAATTTGCAAACTTTTAGATGTTGTCGAAGAAAGATTTTCATGGAAGATTCGGAAAAGAAATTCACATTTCCACAAACTTGTTCCCTTGTTTTGATGTAGAGATCAGAAATTCAAAAAACAAGCATAAGCTTCAGAAATCAAAGTTAACTGCAAACCGAATTGAAGCTAGATCGTAATTGTTAGAAATTGTTACAGTACTTATGAGAAAAAAAACAATCTTATTAATTCAGTTCAGAAAATACGTGCCTATCTGAGTATTTCTATTTTACAATTGCGCATACGAATTTGTTCATTGCTTATATCTTTTCAAAAACATTCTCTCGCTTCCATGGACTCGGATTCTGTTTTCTTGAATAATGGACATAGCTTTTCTTTCGAATCCTCCCACGTCATCCTCCATGGAGTGAATCACCTAATCGTTTCTATGAGCTTGACATTCGCGAGGCGCATGTTTCAGAGCATCTGTGTAAACATTTCTGAATCAAATTTTTCCTGGCCAAGCTGTTATAGCTTCTATGGGTACATCCGAAGTGCAGTATGCAAAATGCTTATTTGATAGTACTGGAAAACGGGCAAATGGATATCGGGGAAGTTATAAAAAAAGTCCAAAGTGGATATCGGGAAAGTTATAAAAAATGTCCAAAGGTGTTATTTACCCAAGGTGGAGTCTTCGACTAAAAAAGACCCTTACCTACTTTTTTCGAAGCGACGCTTGTAATATTACCATGTTTACATATCCCATTTTTTGGTTTACTAATAAAATCAGAGAGCAAATAGCGCAAAAGACTTGGACCAAATCTCCTAAAAGATTTTAGTCAACTTATTATGGAAAGGTCATATCGCAGTCGCAAGCCTAATTTTCCATGAAAAAGGTCTATTGTCTTAGTGTAGACTGAAATTTCAAGAAATGACAGCAGCTGGGATTTTTTTAATGATAACTCCCCCTCCCCCAAGGACTTGAGGGGTTCGCGACGGAAATATCGTGACAGATTGTCTATGGTTTTTCTTCCCATAAAAAGCACGGTCATTTCTGGTTTTTCGTTTATATCAGGTTGATGATAAAGTTCTGTCGTTTAATTTTTGAAAGCATGTCACTTTTTTCTATCTGCACGAATTTGCTTCCTTCTGATCTTTTTAAAAAGAAGAAGTCTTTCTCTTTGTAAGGGTGCTTCGGTGAGGTTCTAATATACACTCATTGCAGAGAAAAAATAAGGAAAAAAGAAGTCCACTGAAACTTCGATTTTTAGATAAAGCAAATCCGTTAAGACAGCGACAAGTTATAAACTTTCAGAAATGAGATGAAAAAACTTTTGCATCAACCTAATATTGAGAAAAGCAGTAAGCAAGTGTCATAATTATAAACCACAGCTCTGGGTTATGATTATAACTGTTGCAACCCTGTAATCCCCGCCACCTACTCAGCGGTTAATCCCACTACCCTTTTGATTAAATGGCACTATGTCCGTACGTGGTGCGGCGTATTTGCGCCTCTACTCAATAGATGTAATTACCTGGTGGAAATGAGGTGACCACGTGAGGACACATATGGCTCACGAACCGCGCCGATATTGATCATTCATCTGGAATCGAGCTCAATATCTGAAGAACATTACCATAAAGCTCAGTGAACACATGAGTGGCAGCAGGGGGGACCGGTTGAGCGGAGAAGATTGATAACAGATACCAAAAATTTCAAATACGAGAGAGATACTGGAGAAATTTTAGAGATTTCCAGACAGCGATGAAAGAACGGACTTTGGAATTTTTCATGCTGTGAAATATTCATTTTCCCAGGCATGCATCCTCCTTCTTTCCTAGGAACGGTCAAGAGCCGCGATTTCTCCCGAGGTTATAAACTTAACAGTCCAATTTAGAGCTATGCTGGTCTCTCAAGTATACCAAACAAAGTGCTCTCACTAAATATCTGTAGCTACCATTTGCTAAGTTTGACCGCATTTGGTCAAAAGTTGATTTCACAAAAACGCCATTAGTTGCATTTTCGCGGTTTTTTTTTTTGACTACCACGACTTTTGAATCTACTTTGAAACGATAAGATCGAGCAGCTGGTGGGGCACACGCATATTTTTTGAGGAATTCGAATTGCTTCTAGAACATACTGACTATGCACTTACTGGTGTCCATCTGACAATAAAATCGCGCCTCTTGACATACACCCTGATTCGGGTCTCCAGATCGATAAGGCAGAACTCTAGTTCCTCTAGGAGTCTTCAAAAAATGCTATGCTCAATAATTCCGAGTCACATGCTGAATTTCAAAGCCCTGGTCAAAAAGCTGACCGGACTTCTTTCAAATTTGCTATTATCTGCGTTTTTGGCACGGGATTTTCACCTTTTACATTTACTGTTTCAAACTTCATTAGAAGTAGAGTCTCAATTATCTCGTCTATTTTCTTAGCAGAAGGGGTATCTCTAGAAGTCATAAAATGCTAAATATGTACCATTTCGTGTCCAGCTGGAAATAACGACGAACAAAAACCGCACCCTTTCACAAACATCAAGCCAAAGAAGAAAACTCCATTATTGAGAGATGAGAGAGGGGGATAACCACAAAAATTCTTAGGCTGGAGAAAGGAGATGATCACTCAAACGAAGTTATCGTTTGCCGAATTTCGAAAGCTGGGGAAAAGTTTTGAACATTTTCTTGATTTCTAAAACTCGTTTTTTTTTTTACTCCAGAGTGAAATTTGCTCATATGGTAAGTATATGTCCATATCGGTTATACCGACTGCCGTCTTCTTCTCATAAATAAAAAAAGTTCCTCCTATATCTTATTTTTGAGGTGTTTATTTGCAACTCTGACAATAATGGCAGCCGAAATCCGCAGCTTACAGCCTGACCCCCCCCCCTTCCTTCCATCCATCTTCTTGCTATCTTATAGCTGACTGACCTTACATGGTCCACGTTATGATAGAATAAGGAATATAGTTTATTACAAGTTTCGAAACTCTAATTTCTATATTTCCGTCTTGAGAAATCTCTATAGTACAGCAAGTAGAGCTTTATGTTGTTCTGGAAAGTCTTGGTCCTTTGGCAAGTCGATACATTTTGTGTAGTTCGTAGTTCCTATGTAATACGATTTGAAATCTTGGAACAAGACTAAAATCTGGTTTTGAGATACTTTTACATCAGAATTCTAGCTGTACTTTTTTCGTTTCAATCCAAGCGCTAAATGCTCTGCCCAAAGTGCTCGTGTTCAATGGCGAAGGAATACAAAAAGAGTGTTAAGTGCCTAAAGAGAACATAGAAGCTTACTGTAATGTGTTTGCTAAGTGTGGATGTGGATGTTGCGTTAGAATGAGCTCTGGTCGTTGACGCACAAAGATCTAAGGGGGATGTGCAAGCTTTTTGTGGATCGGTCGCTAAGGTTGGCACAGGGAAGGGAGGGGGGGGGGGGGTTGACGTGAGAGCGAGAGAACGGGGGGGGGGGATGTGGCCAGGTGTCACCATGCAAACGGACATGCAAAGCGCAGGTGTGTCGAACGGCCCAGAACTACCGCCACCGCCACCGCGACAGCGCCACCACACCAGCTCGCACTCACTCGCACTCATACGCACACACACACGGGGCTACGACCATGTATTGTTAGATGCACTGGAGCGCGTGTCGATTAACAGAACTACGGCTGTTTCTGTGCTCGATCGATTCTGTTATGGTTCGTCTTCTATTCTCGACGGTACTCAACGGATACGGTTCAACTACAGCTGAGCAGTAGTATGCGTCCGACGAATGGAGGCTCATTTCGCGCACCAAAAGTTGTGAGTGCTATCACGGTATTACGGTATTTACTATAGCTTTAAACACATGCAACGACAACTCGCCCACTTGTGACTTTTTTACCCTAATGGGCGCAAGCAATATCCCCACGGCCGGACACTAGTGCGTGCACTACAATGACACATCTATCAGCGAATCCCTTCGGGAGTTACCCAGCCTTGAATAATTTCTGTGCAATTGCCCCGAGGCTATCATACAAACGCTGTCAGGGGTACATTTCAAACAATTGAACCTCGTTTTCATGGCGCTATTGATTTCCCTCTAGTTAGAGCAAGCTCTCATCCGGCCTGGATAACTGGAACATATGCAAGCATTTCGCGTTGCTAAGGGCTTAAATCACTTCGCATTAATGCTTAAAATCGTCGTCACACACACATACATCGAACCTGTCCCTAGTTGTGATGTCCGCCATGCGAATGCCTCATTTCTAGCCCTCAATTGACGATTGATTCCGCCCCAACCCTATTGAACCATATTCACCATTGTTTGCTGACGTTTGCAAGGCCACTACTAAACTTGGGACCTTGCTTTATTTCTGTATTTCAATCCTGGTGAGTATTGAGTACATGGAAACATAACGTAGTTCCTTGTAGCCACCGAAGCGTGCAATCTCATAAATTAGTTGTAGTTTCTTACTGGTTATAACATAAATTTTTGGAAATTTACTTCCGCTTCTCTGCACTTTTTTCGCCGTTTTGTTACTCACTGTAACTTACAGTATACCACCAATGTATTCTATGCTAACGTACCAAGCTGAAAAAAAAAACTAGAAATGTGATATCTTAGAAGGACGAAAAAGTGGAGGAGGAGGAGGGGGAGGGGGGTAATTTGTTTACTTTGACTTACCAGTTTCATTGTTTGCTACATAGAAAATCATTGCTTTCTGAATATGAGAATTCTCGAATTACTCCAAACCGCTTTTATGAAAATCTAAGTGATGCTGGCATTTTTCGAGCAAGCATGATTTCAGGACTAGTTTCCATTTTGTAGGTTTAAGGAGAGTAATCTTCTTATGGAAGATTATCGCAGTCTGCAAGTTCACAAGATGTCTTAGTGTTCGCATTTTCGAAAATCTCAATTTTTTACGTTTAAAGACCAGTATATCACAAGAACTATGATACAGTAACTCTTACGCCTGTATCTTCCTGCAAAAAAGTCCCTAGGAAACTTTAACAAGTAAAAGGGATATATCCGCTGACATATGATCCTCATAATTTAGCATCTGGTAACCAAATCTACAAAAACTTTTGATATTCTTCATGCTGAGGCGACAAGATTGTTTCTCTAAGTCGAAACCATTAGCATATTCTATAGTGACTCCTTCTTTTTACATCTCTGCTTATAAAACCATGTGCTTTAGTGCATTAGTATAAAAGATTTTACATGTAAATTCGACTGGTTCTTGCGCGTTTTTTCGCAGTTGAAAACGTAGCAGATGTCGAAACAGCGTGAAAGAGATTTGCACTCTTGTTCGCAACTCTCATTTTGATGCGCAGAGTTCAAATTACCGGTTGTGAGGTACTAGAAAGTTTTTTTCGTGCGAAAATTTCCTCGGTCAAGTGCAAAGGCAAACTTGGAAATATGATCCGCGCCCTTGGTGTGCGAAATTGTATGAGTACATAATAATATGCAATTTAGAGAGGATTTTTGTATTTTTGAATTATGCAAGGGTTAGAGCTCGTTTATATGCATGAATGGATTTTCTGTGGTTGAATAGGAAGCTCTTTTACCTTTTTAAAATCATGGTCATGGATATACTTGAAGAACCAACGAGGCGACAAGTATCTTTTTTGTTGCGCCCACGTACTCAACGCGTTCTTGGACTTACCAGCATATTACGCCAATTATCCCCATGAAATGTTACGATAACGGGTTTCTCTTCATCGCTTACACATCTTCTAGTGAATAATGCGATCGCGGCCTGTTTTTGTGAGTCTTATGATCAAATAATCGTTGTAAATCTTTTTCGAGCTCAGTCTCTGGGAGCACTATACAGTCGTAGATCCGCAATGGCAGAAAATCGCATCCCCCGGAGGCCTACTCTCATTTATTCGCAAAGCTTCTTTCATTTTAATACCATTTTGCTCGTATGCAAATTTGTTATACGCTCCACTTGAAGACTTCAATTTTATGTCCTTAAATGGCTGTATGCACGCTCCTTTATGAACAATTTTCACAAAGAAAGTTCACTCCCAATTTTCCATTGAAGCAATGGAATTCGCAAGTACAAAGCAAGTACTTCTCGTTTTTGCAGAACTCGAATTTCTGTGTGGCGTCTTTCCACATTTTATGAAATATGAGACGCACCTGGCAAGCACTTCTCAGGTTACAAGGATCACAGCGATAGATTTCCCCATTTTCTTTGGATAAAATATAAAGTGAAACATCAAATATTCAGAAATATGGCGTATGATTCCTGCAGCGCATGCTCATAGGGACTTCCTAAAAGGTGTTTGAGTACATGAGGTTGCTTTACTTGGACATTGTTACCCTATCAATTTAGTACGATGTTAAAGGCAAAACATTAGGACTTATAAAAATTTGTATGAGCAGCTTCGAGTTCTAATTTACGAATAACAACATTTGAGCGAAGAATGAAAGTGATATTCATTCATGTGGTCACATAAAGTGCTTGCAATTATTATTGCTGTTTCAGTTTGCAATTATCAAATCTAAAGCAGATTTTCTTCAGTCGGAAATTTTGGAGAAAAAAAAGTTTTTGTACTGAATCATGAAGAAAAGACTTTGGAATATTAGCACGGGATTCTGAACCCAAAGTTAATTGACTCTAGTTTGAAATCTTTCCTACTTTTTTATCTTCTTCTTGTGTGTTACACTGTTACATAGATGATGTTGCTTCAAGCATGCGCTTTTACATTTTACTTTTTATTGAATAGGGACCTCAGCTATGAGCATGTGTAATTTGCAATACTTTTTTGCTAAACACACTATGGGAAACCCGCATCAGTCTTTGGTCGGAAATCCTCAGAATTTCACTCAAAAAACCTAAGCGCCCAAAAAATACCGAGCAATTGTAAAACGGAGCTATCATAAACGAGCAGTATATCAGTGAGGCCGAGCCATTATGCATTATGAAATTAAAGATAAAATGGTCAATTCTATGTGAGAGGATAATAATATTTCATCAAACATATAATGGTCATCCACAACTGCTAACTTTCTCGCTTTAATAATTTAAATTCGTTATTCCAGAGTGTAACCCGTCCAAGAACGTCTGTTGAAGATGATGAAGAGAAGAAGGAAATGGCGGAAGCTGCATTCCGAGAGTGGTTGAAACGTAAAGCATCGGAACCTCACACACCTCGGGCATCACCTTCTAGGTAATGTGGAAAGATATTAATCATTCTTGAATGACCTGATTCTTAAGTGGTACACAAGGAGCGTGTAACGTTAAATTAGCTTCGCTTCCACGTCAATCCAGAGATCATCAGTTTGTCCATTTCATACGTGTTTGAAACCCAAGATTTTGGGTAGAATGATAGTGGAAGCGCTGACAGTGATTTGTTCTGCTCGCCGACTCCTCATGCTGAAGTGCTAACATTTCCCTCCTCTAAACCAGAATCAGAATTCATATTGCATTCCTTCAAGATTGTTGGCTATGAAACTTTGGAATGAGACAAAAGAGCACTTTCGAGACATGTACCTCCGAAAATTTGTATGCGTCTCTATGGAGACGCATGAATCTCAACTGCTTAAAATGTTTGCTCCAGATTGCACCCATGAAAGCTAGCGATTATTCGAACGAAGCTAAGGCATGGTATATATCAGGGTAATCCAGAAGTAATGTCACCTATAGAATAAATGCAGTTTTCTCAAACAGAAAACCCAATTGGAAGTCCAAGCTTTGGCAGATGTTAGTACATAACAAAACCTTCTGGTCGAGGCTTATAGGTGGGCACTGTCACACGGCGTTATTTCTATAGTTGACTGCACGGAATCGCCCGGAATGGCCACCCGCGCGCGTGTCTCTCGCGGGCTAACATTGGCAGAGCGCATGAGTCATCATAGCGCCCGTACTCGCCGCCGCGTTGCAAGCACGCTCGCGTGCGTTAAACCTACGACAATCCGGGCGATTTCGTGCAGGCGACTTTATAAGCGCTCAGAGTCAAAGCTCGTCATTTCAAGTACTTTTGAACTTTGAGCAGCACCGCCGCAGTAAAATAAGTGAGCCTATTAAAGATATCTGTGCAGCAATGGTTGAGGGGACTGCCACCCAATTCCACGATGCCCCGGTGGTCCAATCCTTAGAACAGAAGATCTAGCTCTGGATTGGGAAGCGCTATTTATTCTCTCATTATAATCAAACGAACTCACCCTTGACAGATGCTGTCTGATAGAGCTTTATACGTTCTATCCACAATGCAGTTTACCTCTATCTTCCTTTCAAAAAATTGTGGGCCAGAACATGATTTTGGCCGAAAAATCTGCGCCAAACACCACACTTTTTCGAATAAAGTACCTCATTCATACGAAATAATGGAGAATTTTTGTACATTCAAGAAAGCATTAGAAAGAGCTTGGAAAGTTCTTTCGGTTGTTATGTCATATGTGTGGGAAAATTGGGATACAGCATGCAAATTCGGATGGAAAAAAGTTTGTCTGACTTCTTCTGAACGCCGCTCAATGGATTGTGGATGAGGTGCTGCAAGGTGCTCCAAGGATAACCTGCGAGGGTCATTTTATAAAAAAAGCGTTCAAAGCTGGTTGTCCATAATTAATCAGAAAGAGACTTTGAAAAATGATCAAAAAATCGAGGTGCATCACTACATTTGGACCACCCCAATAATAAACCCGTCTTTTGCCATTATGCAGCAAACGAAAAATTGAAAAGTTCTAAATTCAAGGTCATTACTCGGCAAAATTTTGCAGTTTGTGTTGAAAATTTGTATAGCATTCTGCCATTGACCGTAAGAATTATTTTTTGAGATTTTCTGGCTTCACTCCTGCATGAATTCAAACAAACTTTTGAATCGCAAAATCTAATGCTCATCCTGGTGCGTAAGAACATGAGTTGGAACAGCACAGGGTTTGAAAAACATTGTGTCCATTAAGTTAGTGCCATCCAATTGTCAGTGTTGTAAAATTTTCTCTTCTTTCTAACATATCCCAACCGGTCAGGCCACTCTAACATCTAGAGTCTAACTAATGCATTGAGCTTACTTTTCCGCACTCATACATACTGCTGCTCGACCATTGCGCTTATAAAAAACAAATGCTTTAAAGGGTACCTAGGCAAATCTGTGTACGTGTACTTCTCATATGAGGTATTGAGAGAATTGACTAAGACTGCTTTAAAGCATATATAATTCGCTCATGGCCGAGTAGATCGACTCTGAACTCCAGCGACCGTATTCTACCGTAATTGAGAGCCTTCGGTTTGCAAGGAGTACAGTCGCTTCATTTCATATGATCATGTGTGCCACTGCACACACGGTCCACTCTGGCGTCCTCATCCTGGATTTGCAATCGCAAAAACGCAAGAGACTTACCAGTTGTTATCGATTACATCAATTTGAGGTGACTAATAGCTAAAAAGGAAAGAAAATGCTAAGAACACCTTGGAAACACTTACCTGAAGGCTTGCTTCTCCCACGAATCCAGGATGGGGACGCCAAAGGTGAACTGTGTGTGCAATGACACACATAATCATATGAAATGAAGCGACTGTACGGTCTGGCCAAAATTCAAAGCTAAATTTTTTGGCCGCGAAATTGCAGGAACTGCCGCTTGGGTAAAGGGCTTGCTGACAAGGAAATGGTCAGAAGTCGAAGTGGCCAATCCATACAAGCTGCATACCAATCGATGCAGCATAGGATGCTGATTTCAAATGTGTTTTCCGTATCTGCAGAGCGCCTTTGTGGGCGAAGTTATGAGCAGCTTTACTGCGGAAAAATCGTCCACAAAAACTGCGAAATTAGGCAGATCACTGCTCTTTCAGCTCACCTTTAGGTACGAGCCATATGAACTGACCTAGTTACACGTTTTGGTCCAACACTGAGCCGAGAATGGCTTTGTACGGCCAAATTTGACCTTTACACGCACAATTTCTTAGCAAAATGATGACATTTAACGGCTTATAACTTCGCCTACAAGAGCGCTCTGCAGATAAGGAAGACAGATCTGAAATCAGCATTCTATGCTGCATCGAATGGTATGCACCTTGCTTGAATTGGCCACTTCGATTTCTGACCATTCCCTTGTGAGCTCCACACAGTGCTCTCATAATCTAGGAACCGCACTTGCACGAACACTGCCTTTAACCACTTTAAAAATCGTTTGGCAGGACATGAGAAGTCAGAGATTCAAATCACACTTGATGATATATTAGAATACTCCGTAATCTTTTTGATCCTCAAATATTCCATTTGATAAGCTGATTTTAGGGAACAAATCTGCCTGCATCTAAAAGAAGATGCTCGGCATCGCATGTACAACAACTGGTTGCATAGTCGGCGATTTGCACAGAATTCACAATCACCGCAAACGAATGGCGATACTACGCCATCAGAAAATAACAAGAAAATACCATCTTCATGAGTTTATGAGATACCATTTAATGTGCTTGAATAGTTTCCATATTCTACGCGATTCTTTCAGTGCAATTGCCAATTTTTTAACATTCTTGAAAATTTCGTTTTTCCTACGCACTTGCATCTTGAATTTACGCATATATGAATGATAGCCAAATTGATCATTGTTCCGTGCAAAATTTGACGATAGAGCATGTTTTATGCCAGGCAAGTTTCCCATTTACGTTCCATGTGATGCGACATCAGAGTGAGGCATTGCTAGTGAAAAATTTCTTTTCTTGGTGAAAATCACCGCCCGCCTCTCGCTAGTTGTTCGGTTTGTTTTTTGAATGTTGTGAAAATTTTCTTTGTTACTGATTAGCCTGCTATTTGCGTTCAACTTTATGATGTGGGTGTTCTAGGATGAAACACTCACGTTTTACTTGTGTAAATGCTATGTTATGTAATGTTGCCGTATGTTCAGTTGCACATAAATATTAAGATTATTGTTTGTTATAACCCAATTCCCTGAATTTTGCATTTCGATCAAAGAATCTATAGATGCTTGAACGCATGAATGGCAATGATTACCTTTTTCAACGAGTTCTTATTTTCCTCATCCGACGCTGCGATAAATCGAAAACAATTCTCATACATTTTTGGTAATACTACGGCCATTTGAATAAAAATTGATTACGATATATTATGCTCAAGAATATTCTTACAAACCTGGTAAAAGAGGCTTTTTTCTCGTCATAAGCCTGGTACTTATTCGCAATGAAAGTGTCACCATTTGAACTGAATGGTACAAAAGTACACTTGATGAAAACGTATTACAGGCTTTGTAAATCGATGCAAATTCAAAAGCAGCTTTCGCTAGCGCAGCTGTGTCGTCGACAAGTCTAGCAAGGGCACATGATTACTTTTGCGCAGTATCCGGGGTGGGGGGGGGGGAGGGATTGAAGCATGTCTCACAAGCCTTCTTTTGAATGTAAAAATCTGGTTATAGTTCTGCGAGCTTTTGCCTTTGGCTTGAAGGTGGTATGAGAACACGAAAGTCTCAGAATATAAATCAAATAATCTCAAGGCGGTCTCCAAGAAAACTTACAACTTTTGAAAGTATCTAATGTTTTTGAACATTACTGCACTCCATAATTTGTAGAATTTATCAGAATAGTGAACTCTTTGAAAACAAGCAATCAAAGCTGGGGACACGTATAATCTTTGTGCAACCTTTCACAACTTTTAGACTTAAGGTTTGACATTGCTTTGTTCGAACGTACAAACTGTTTGTTTTTTTACAAGTGAGGGAGAGTTACTCGCATGATTACTATTCTAAAAGATTTACTTTCACAGTTTGCGATTTGACTCTGTCCTGAAGAAAGTTTATTTTGGTATCTATTTGTAAATGAAAGAGTACACCTGATGATGCAACAATGTACAGCCTGAAATAAGTTGTAAATTAGGTGATTATTTGCATTGGTGATGAGAAGATGATCGGTTACCATCGTACCGAAGCACAATTCGAAGTTTGTAAGAAAGGAAATTAACAAAAGGTTTTAGACAATCCAAGCTGTATAAAAAATTAGATCGAGTCGCGCGTAGTACTCCCCTCATTCGTATCAGCAAATCCAATAAAAATGGAAACCAGTGGAAAACAAGCATTTGTTTCTTTTGAAAAATCCATCTATCGCTTAACATCGATTTCCTAGAGATGAAGATCTCCAGTTTACTGGAGCGTGGAAATAAAAATTGGTGCAAAAGCCCCTAGCTAGATTTCAAGCCAATATCAATGCAACTTACCTTTGGAAGGGCTTTTCACGGTACTTTCCTATGTTTAGTTGACTGCTCTCTTTGAGCAGTCTTTCTTTGGTTCCTAAAGAAAGACTGCTCAAAAAGAAGCCAGTTTTGTCATTGCCAACAAAGCGACTCCAAATTTTCAACAATCATTGTTTGCGGAGGAAATCTGCGAAAATCATAGCCGACTGAGAATCCAAGAATAATAACACTTCCAAAATGCCGTACTGTTATTCAATAATTATCAACCCTAGATTAACCCTCAAAAGTAAGAATACAAGTATTCACGATGCCAAGGTTAAATACAGCCGAACATGGACACTTGCGAATTTCATAGTCTTACCACTCTCACAGAATACCCCAAGGAAGGACTGAGACGCATACAAAAAAGTAAGGTTTTCGCACCCGACACGCACTGAATAGCACAATAGGAAATGGAATGGAATACGCATTCCGTGACTGACGACCCAACGGAAATGGTGTTTGAAAGCTAAGGATTCGAAGAGGTTCAAGTACTGTAGAGGAAGAATTCATATTTGGCCATGCAACAATCAGGACAGCTTGACCGAAAGAATTTAATGATAAAGTGCACTATATCGGGTCGTCAGTTGAAAATATTAGGTCGGTGCAAAAGTTTTGTCGGTTTTTTTGATCCATCGGCAAGCACGCTAGAGTGAAGATAAACAGGCGCTTCAAAATGTATCCGATGTAGAATTTTTTCCTCTTTCCAGCTGCTAAACTCCCATTGTGTTTCTTTGCAAAAGTGACGAGATATTTGCTGCGAATTACAACCACTCGTTTTTACCATGTGCAACTTTCGCTAATTTTCAAAATTTTTGCATGAGACTTTCGAAGGAGCCCTGATAGCCAGCAGGTAAGGCTAACCTTTTGCCAACAGAAGCAATTTTTTGTAGCCCTACAGCTTGTCTTTCAGAATTTCTACGATTTATTCTTTGAAGTGACCAAATTATACATTCAGCCTATTTGATTTCGTAGAACATAAAATGTTAAACACTTCAGTCACCATTCGATGCAGATTTTTTTCCTCTTTTTAATACTTGTCTTTTTTCGCCGAAACAGGAGAAATTTGTGGGGAAAATCGCAGTATTTCTCAGTTTCAGGAGTGCGCATAGGCGTAACCTATGTTTCAAAATCTTCAAAATTTGAAGCGAAAATCGCTCATTTAATTTGTAATGGTAGTGGTAATAATAATCGTGTGTTGAAACCACAGTATTCTGTAGGTTTTGCAGTGTTTGATGCAATAACAGGTTATGCGATTTTTCCAAAACACAAGACTTTTAGAAAATTATTCAGCAAAAATCTGAAAAAGCAACTGACAAAAAGAAAAAACTGCATAAGTCGGCAAAAGGTTAGCCCTATCTGCTAGCTATCAGGGCTCCTTCGAAAGTCTCATACAATATTTTTAAAAATTAGCGAAAGTTGGACATGGTAAAAACGAGTGGTTGTAATTTGCAGCAAATATCTCGTCACTTTCGCAAAGAAACACAATGGGAGTTTAGCAGCTGGAAAGAGGAAAAAATTCTACATCGGATACATTTTGAAGCGCTTGTTTATCTTCATTCTAGCGTGCTTGCTGATGGATTAAAAAAACCGACAAAACTTTTGCACCGACCTGATATACATAGAAGTACAAACTCCTTGGAACTGCGCAATTGTTCAAGCCAAGGTGACGATCCATAGTAAGGCAAAGGTCACATGTTTCAGCTCTTGTGGCAGCTTATTGTTAGCATTTCCTGAACAGCTTTCCACAATTCCCCTACTATTGTAGTTTCATATGTAATATATAGACTCAGTTGCTCTACAATCGCTTGCTCACCGCAGAACGCCTAAAGTTGAATATCGACCTACTGACACACTATTCCCCCTAATCGGTACTTGAAGTTTTGTTTCCCAAGAATTTCTAGCTTTAGCTACCCATTTAGATGTACTTATGGTCCTTGAATACTGGAAAGTATCATGTGAGAACGTTGAGAAGCATTGCGAACGGTCTCGATTTTGAAGTGTTCATTACTTCTGAGGCTTCTGGAAGTCATTGATTCGAGCGTGTGATTTAGAACTTGCATGTCACTAATTTGGACACGGAACACAAGAGCAAGGCGAACGGTTTGGTCGGTTGTCTACCTTAACTGGGTTACTGAACTCATGCATCACTATAAATACTCCAATGAAAAGCCCATAATAAATGATGATTAGAGAAGAACTGTAGTGCAACGAGCAATCAATCAAATCAATCCATGGAAAAACAATTTGCATGCAAATGAGACAGTAAAATAGACGAGGCACACAGAAAAAAAGTGAAGTCACTAAAGTTGACGCTGCGGTTCCGTTAAACTTCAATCTTCACCACACTTGTTGCCCTTCGACGTCGTGGTTGTTGCTACGTTTAGTGGATCAGATTGTAAGGTGGAAAATGCATTGAAGACTGTAAAAACATATGCTGAGAATGTTGTGCTTGCAAGCCGCGAGTTACGTCAGCCTTTGGCGAATGTGGCATCTTGGTCTTTTACTTGGAAGCCTATTAAAGGCCCTATTAAGTCATTCCTCAAGCGGCAGTTCCTCAATCAACTGTACTCCAAACTTTACCTTGTAGCGTGTTCAAAGATGGTGACTGGTCGATTGGAAAGACTGTGATCCCATTAGGTTCAAAAATCGGCCTTCATGTTCGTAAGAGCAAATGCAAGTTACAGTCATTCAAATTTCAACCGATAAAACGATTACGCTCACCATTTCACATGAGTATTATGGAGAATATGACGAGTGACTTTGATCTATAGCTAGTGATAATAAAAATTAAAATTATTTGAGGAGACAACATCCTTCTCGGTTGCTCCTTTTCATTAGTGATTTCTGCACACCAATGACAAGTATAAGTTGTATGTAAGAAGTTCTTGTTTGCAAGTCCTTCGCAAAGTGACTTCTTCCTTCTTTTCTTTCATTACCGTTGATGATCAAGCGGCCTTGCCTTTGCGAATTTTTGGTGTTCTGCATACTGGCTCATAGCTTGGTAGAGGCGAGTATGGTAACGAAGTTGTTAGCAACCATAAATGGCACGGATACAAGTGAAGGAATAGATATAGGTGCTAGCATCTAATGGTTTGGCGATGAGTCTGGAAAACAACTCAATCCGCATAAGCTGGAGACAACCGATCATTACTTTGGACTCCAAGAGACACGCCTCTGCACATTAAGAAGAATTTTCCAAGTTTCCTCTCCTTTGCACTTTCACTATTATGTACGAATCCTTTATGACTTTATCTTTGATGTTTCTGACTGCTCTTATGCGTGAAGAAGGCGATTCGTTTGAAAATGTGCAGCGGCTGCGCGTCTCCGAACAGTGCCTCGTAAACGTAATAATTCGACAGTGGAACAATAGCGAATGCAAAAATATTACTGGTGATAGCCAGAAAACGTAAGATATGTTCTAACACTTATCAGAACACGGTTCAGGTTGATTTACCACATTTGCGCGGAAAGTTGAAGCGTGAAACCTTGGGTACAAAAGGAAGTTCGTGAGAAGCGTGCACGGTTGCGATGCTATCCATGCAACCAAATGTCCCGTAATGTTTAGCTGGTTTGTAAGGCTGGGCTTTATTTAGTGTCTTATTTGGAGAGTATAGATTATCTTGGTGGAAAGCTTGTTATACCCTCAGCAGGCTCATT